GGAAGGAAGGAAGGAAGGAAGGAAGGAAGGAAGGAAGGAAGGAAGGAGAGATAGAAAGAGAGAGAATTTTGGAGTATCATTTTTTTTTTTCTTTTCAGGCAGGTTTATGTCTCAACTTCATAATCAGCCGACAGCTTTCTCTCTTTCCCCAGTCATAGACACTGTCGCTCACTGTGCAGAACCTGACTCTAAGGAAGGCTAAATTCCCCTGGGGTTCTTTTCCTCCTGTGTCTCCCCTCCCTGATAGCCTGGCCCCAGGTAATCACTGATGTGAAGGTTTAGAGTTCACTAACGAGAAAAGCTGTATCCTGTTCATCATTGAACCTCTTTTGTCTAGAGCAGCTATTGTCTAACGGTATATATACATATATTTTATTATGTTCAAGTAATGAATTAATTCATTAGTGTGCCAGCGTGTTTTTAAAGTGGTGGCAGTGCAGAACAAGAATGGAGAAAGCATGAAAATGACAAAGGGGACCTTATACAAGGAGAAGAGGTTAGGTCACCTCTGGGGACAGCTTTGCAAACGGCCGGCCTATTAAGAGATATGGGGAGATCCTTCTGCACCATTTTTTCTTTTAAACAAGGAAACTGTGATAAGATCAGTCATTTAAAATGTATGGACACACTTTATTCCCTCGCCAGAGTGTTTAATGATCTATGTGTCACGCAGTAAAGTGGGGCACAATTGTACACTCAAATCTGCTTTGGGTTTGTATCTGATAGCCATCTATTGGTTCCTGGATCCTGGGTCATGCACCACTCCTATTGGTATATTAATTATTAACGACAATGAAAACAGAGAAGGTTGAGAGAAGGAAAATATGTTTTACGGGCTTGATGGTCTGTTGCTTCTCAGAAATTCTTGAAAACAGAAAGTATCAGGAAGCCGTCCTGCTGAGAAAGGCCACATTCAACTTGACCGTTGAGGAAGAAAAACTCATCGGCTGGAGAAGCTAAACCCAGAGTTTATTTGCCAACAAACTCTTCAGAGGCTCAAAAGTCAGGTCCTCCAAAGGCTGAAAGTAGAAAAGAGAAACATGACCTTAAAACTGAACCCTGGCCCAGCGACAGGCCTCAGAAAGTGTCCAGCTTGGACACTGGCGGTTTGGCTGCTGTTTTTCATTATTTTTGTGTATTTTTCCTGTGTATGGGCATGCCAGCTGCATGCATGTCTGTGCACCCTGAGCGTGTGTGTGCCCACAGGAGAGCCGAGGTCCTCTGCAAGAGCAGCCGGTGCTTTTAACCACTGAGCCATCTCTCCCACTCTCGATCTTTCTTTCTTTCTTTTTAGAAGAATTTACTTTGCTAGAGATCTTGTGGGTTAAAACAACTTTCATGTTGGTCTCTGTGGTATGTATTTATTACTTGACGTAAATGCTTTAGTTTGCATTTTTACTTTTATAGTATAAAGGATGATATAACACCTCAGAAGGACCACAGAAGACCCCTAACTTAATTTCATTAAGACACGAAGGAGCTGGGTATGGTGGCTCACGCCTTTAATCTCAGCACTTGGGGGTCAGAGGCAGGTGGATCTCTGTGAGTCTGAGGCCAGCCTGGTCTACAGAGTAGATTCCAGGACAGCCAGGGCTTGTCACACAGACAAACCCTGTCTTGGAAAACTACAGAAAGAGAGAGAGATTTTTTTTTCCTTTTAAAAAGTTATTTTATTACTTGGAGATTTTATACAAATATATAATGCATTATAATTACTCTAGTTCCCACCCTTTCTTTATTGCCTTCATATCCTTATGAAAACTCCCCCTCCCTTTCAGTCTCTGTCCCATATGGGTGACTTTTGATTTGGTTTTGTGGCCCATTTAGCTTGGTCAGAGCCATCTGTGTTTGCATCGGATCAGAAGTATACACTAATGCCAGGCGAGGCCTGTGGATACACAGCGGAAAGAAAGCAATAACTCCCCCTCGCCCTGCATCTATTAATAGCCAACAGTTCAGCAGTACATGGTAGAGCCCCTCCATCTGCTCCTGTGCCTGGGGGTCAGAGAGGGGGGTCCCGATTTTATTGTGTCCTAGTGTATGTATCAACAGCTGCTGTGAGCGCCTGACTGATAGCTATTCTCAGATGTCTTTCCCAGCCCTGTCTTCCAGCTCCTACACTCTTTTCACAGACTGATTTTTTTTTTTTTTTTTTTTGAGACAGGGTCTTACAATGGCGCCCAGACTTTACCTCAAATTTTTGTGTTCAAGTGATCCCCTTGCTTCAGTCTCCTGAGCAGCTGGAGCTACAGGTAGCCACCGCTACACCCTGATCTAATACTTTCTTCAAGGTTCTTTTCAGGGGTTTTCATTTTGCTATGAACGCATCTATTTACGCTCAGTCAGCAAACATTTATTTAAAAAAATTTTTTAAGGTTAGTTTTGTGTCTTTTACTTGCCTGTATGTGTGTGTAGTGTTTGTGGTACCCATAGAGGCTGTAAAAGGTCATCACATGCCCTGGAACATGTTACGCATGGTTGTGAGCCACCACGAGGGTGCTGGGAACTGAACCTGGTCCTCTGCATGAGTATCATAAAGCATCAGGGCGTTGGAGCAAACCGTTCTGAGTTCAAATGCTGGCTCTGCTTCCTGCTGTTAAAGGTTAGTCTTCCAGGTCCCCAAGACTCTGAGACAATCTAATTGTGATTGCCAGGACTGAGTTTGGATAAGACGTTCTGTATCTGCTGGCATGGTAGATACAGAGGTCCCTCCGTGTGCCCTGCCCGACTCAAAACTAAAACTGTCTGATAGATTACATGCAGTCATGAGGCATACTAAAAACAATTCCCTGTGTATCTAAAATCTAACTTGGCTAAGCATGGTATTTGTATTTTTCCTACATCTCCCCGCTCTAGCAGCCCTCCCCCAAATACCGTGGCTCCAATGAGCCATGATAAAACTTAACGGGCTGTAAGGAAGATGTGAAATGATGTGTTGTGCTGCCCCCTACTGGTAGGATATGGCAACACTATCCAACTTAATAGCATGTCGCCTTTATGGTGTGTGTGTGTGTGTGTGTGTGTGTGTGTGTGTGTGTGTGTGTGTGTGTGTGT